AATGACTGCTTTTCCCTGCGATTGTTTGTACCTCCACCCTGTCTCTCAAAACTATCATGAATGAGTCACCTTCTTGGACTCTCCTGTTATTAATCCTACATTTTGGGGGTAACCTTAGAGAAACATGACTTAAGAGCCCCGAGGAGACGCATAACGTCTGCAGGCGATTCAGCTCGGTTAGAGCTTTCCTACAAAAGAAAACAAAAAACAAATCTATTTAAAGGCATCAAGCACTAGGGATGAGGATGGAGCTTGAGATTCAAGCCATTGGGACATTAGGGACTATACATCATCACTGAACTTAAGTCAATAGATCAAGATTTATAGACTAATAGTTTGGGGTAACCTTGGAGGAATGTGACATAAGAACTCCCAGGAGACGCAAGAAGTCGGCAAGTGATTCAGTTTGGTTGGAGCTTTCCGTCAAAAGAACAAACCTATTTGAAAGCATCAAGAGGGATGAGGATGGAGCTTGAGCTTCAAGCCATTGGGGCATTGAGGACTATACATCACCACTGAACTTAAGTCAATATGTCAAAACCTATGGACTAATATTTTGAGGTAACCTTGGAGGAACGTGACCTAAGAGTCCCCAGGAGTATGGAGATGCATGAAGCCTGCAGGTGATTCAGTTTGGTTGGAGCCTTCCTTCCAAAGACCAGTGGTTACGTGGTTAGCAGCACTAGGGTCTTCTGTCTGAATCCCAACCATGATACTACCTGCCTGGAGTTCGCATGTTCTCCCTGTGCCTCTGTGGGTTTCCTCCCACATTTCAAAGACATGCTGGTAGGTTAATTTTCTACCGTCTAAATTGGCCCTAGTATGTGTATGTATGAATGTGACTTAGGGACCTTAGATTGTATGCTCCTTGAGGGCAGGGACTGATGTGAATGTACAATATACAGTCAGGTCCATAAATATTGGGACATCGACACAATTCTAAAATTTTTGGCTCTATACACCACCACAATGGATTTGAAATGAAACAAACAAGATGTGCTTAACTGCAGACTGTCAGCTTTAATTTGAGGGTATTTACATCCAAATCAGGTGAACGGTGTAGGAATTACAACAGTTTGCATATGTGCCTCCCACTTGTTAAGGGACCAAAAGTAATGGGACACTTGGCTTCTCAGCTGTTCCATGGCCAGGTGTGTGTTATTCCCTCATTATCCCAATTACAATGAACAGATAAAAGATCCAGAGTTCATTTCAAGTGTGCTATTTGCATTTGGAATCTGTTGCTGTCAACTCTCAAGATGAGATCCAAAGAGCTGTCACTATCAGTGAAGGAAGCCATCATTAGGATGAAAAAACAAAACAAACCCATCAGAGAGATAGCAAAAACATTAGGCGTGGCCAAAACAACTGTTTGGAACATTCTTAAAAAGAAGGAACGCACCGGGGGGAGCTCAGCAACACCAAAAGACCCGGAAGACCACGGAAAACAACTGTGGTGGATGAGCGAAGAATTCTTTCCCTGGTGAAGAAAACACCCTTCACAACAGTTGGCCAGATCAAGAACACTCTCCAGGAGGTAGGTGTATGTGTGTCAAAGTCAACAATCAAGAGAAGACTTCACCAGAGTGAATCCAGAGGGTTCACCACAAGATGGAAACCATTGGTGAGCCTCAAAAACAGGAAGGTCAGATTAGAGTTTGCCACACGACATCTAAAAAAGCCTTCACAGTTCTGGAACAACATCCTATGGACAGATGAGACCGAGATCAACTTGTACCAGAGTGATGGGAAGAGAAGAGTATGGAGAAGGAACTGCTCATGATCCTAAGCATACCACCTCATCAGTGATCATGGTGGTGGTAGTGTCATGGCGTGGGCATGTATGGCTGCCAATGGAACTGGTTCTCTTGTATTTATTGATGATGTGACTGCTGACAAAAGCAGCCGGATGAATTCTGAAGTGTTTTGGGAATATTATCTGCTCATATTCAGCCAAATGCTTCACAACTCATTGGACGCCGCTTCACAGTGCAGATGGAGAATGACCAAAAGCAGACTGCAAAAGCAACCAAAGAGTTTTTTAAGGGAAAGAAGTGGAATGTTATGCAATGGCCAAGTCAATCACCTGACCTGAATCCGATTGAGCATGCATTTCACTTGCTGAAGACAAAACTGAAGGAAAATGCCCCAAGAACAAGGAGGAACTGAAGACAGTTGCAGTAGAGGCCTGGCAGAGCATCACCAGGGATGAAACCCAGCGTCTGGTGATGTCTATGCATTCCAGACTTCAGGCTGTAATTGACTGCAAAGGATTTGCAACCAAGTATTAAAAAGTGAAAGTTTGATTTATGATTATTATTCTGTCCCATTACTTTTGGTCTCTTAACAAGTGGGAGGCACATATACAAACTGTTGTAATTCCTACTCCGTTCACCTTTTTTGGATGTAAATACCCTCAAATTAAAGCTGACAGTCTGCAGTTAAAGCACATCTTGTTCGTTTCATTTCAAATCCATTGTGGTGGTGTATAGAGCCAAAAATGTTAGAATTGTGTCCATGTCCCAATATTTATGGACCTGACTGTATATGTGTAAAGTGCTGTATAAATTGATGGTGCTATATAAGTACCTGAAATAAATAAATAAAAAATAAATATTTAAAAGCCTCAAACTCTAGGATGAGGATGGAGCTTGAGCTTCAAGCCTTTGGGGCATTGAAACTTTACATCACCAGCGAACTCAAGTAAATAGGTCAAGACCCATGGACTAATATTTTGGGGTAACCTTGGAGGAATGTGACATAAGAGCCCCCCAGGAGATGCATGAAGTCTGCAGGTGATTCAGTTCGTTTGGAGCTTTCCTTCAAAAGAACAAGCCTATTTAAAAGCATCGAGCACTAGGGATGGGGATGGAGCTTGAGCTTTGAGGACTCTGAGGCATTGAGCACTACACATCACCACTGAACTCAAGTCAATAGGTCAAGACCTATGGACTAATATTTTGGGGTAACCTTGCAGGAACACAACATAAGAGTCCCCAGGAGGTTCATGAAGTCTGCAGATGATTTAGTTCAGTTGGAGCTTTCCTTTTAAAGAACAAGACTATTTAAAAGCATTAAGCGCTAGAGATGGGGATGGAGCTTGAGCTTCAAGGACCTTGAGGCATTGAGGACAATACATCACCACTGAACTCAAGTCAATAGGTCAAGACCTATAGAGTAATATTTGGGGTAACCCTGGAGGAACGTGACATGAAAATCCCCAGGACACACATGGGGGTTTATTTACTAAAGCCGGAGAGTCCAAAATCAGACTCCCTTCTGCATAGAAACCAATCAGCTTCTAACCTCAGCTTGTTCAATGAAGCTTTGGCAATGAAACCTGGAAGCTGATTGGTTTCTATGCAGAAGGGAGTCTGATTTTGGACTCTCCAGCTTTAGTAAATAAACCCCATGAAGTCTGCAGATGATTCAGTTCAGTTGGAGATTTCCTTTAAAAGAACAAGCCTATTTAAAAGCGTCAAATTCTAGGAATGAGTATGGAGCTTGAGCTTCAATCCTGGGGCATTGAGGACTAGACATCATCACTGAACTCAAGTCAATAGGTCAAGACCTATGGACTAATATCCACTTTCATCCAATGCAACCATAAAAACAGACAATGTAATGCTTGTAGGAACAATGAACCTATAGGAAGAGCCAGCCCAATAGTTGCCCTGTGGCAAACAACATGCCTTTTGTTTGGGTACCTTTCTACAGTACATCATCTATCTACATGGAACATTGGCCAGCAAATCATTGCAGAATATAATCAAAGTCTAAATATTGTGTTATACTTGAGATACAAAGTCTGTTACCGCCTACAGACGCTGCTTTTATAAATAAAAATTACCTTAATGTACAACCTTTCCCCATGTATGTTTATAGTAGCAAATATCAGGCATTTTAAACATGTGTGACAAGTTGTGACAACTCCTCCATTCTGGCCAAACCTCTGATTTAATCAAAGCAAGTCTGCGAGAGACATTTGTCCCCCGGGCTTCAAGGACAAGGATCAATACAGTCACCGATCACTTCTGTCATTTCAGCGGTGATGACACAGAGTGGGTGTCTAGATCAGCAGCCCACGGGTTGACAGCTGAGTCACAAGACTCCCTGCAACTGCACAGGCAATGTTGCCTAACTGCATTTATTTTGGGATTACAGAAATAACAGAGCAATAACTAACATGTTCGGTACTTTGAAGGTCGGTCCCTGATTTTTAGGGAAAGTATCAGGTTTGGAAAATATATGAACCTGGCATGGCTTCTGCCTAACCATCTGTATAACAGCAACCTAAGGAATCTGTCACCAAGATCATTGGAGCATGCACTATTCAATATTATGTTCCTGCTGAGGCTATCTAGATAATATTACAATATAATGGAGACATTCTCAACCAAGGTTTTATGCAACTCTAGGGTTCCTTCACAGTGTGCTAGTGGTTCCTTGAGCTGTGGCGGATTGGCCTCCCATTTGATGGTGCCTGCATAGTTCCAGGGCCAATGCCATTTGGCACAGCCAGTTGCATGACATCAGTGATTTTTTTTTTTTTTGCTTTGTGTAAGGGTGGCATGCTGACCACCATTGTAAAGGGGAATTCTGACCACCATTGTAAGGTGGCATTCTTTTCTCTGACCACCATTTCAAGGGGGGCATTCTTGTCAAAGGCCACCAAGGTATCAGGCACTTTTTCTCACTGACCCCCAATGAATTGGCTTTACCAGAGTTTCTCCGAGACCAAAAAAGAGTTTCAAGGGTTGCTCTAGGGATCCTATTGAAAAACAAGCTGATGCAACAGAAACCTTTTTCTCAGAGCAAAGCATAGATGTGAACGAGCCCTTAAGCGGATTGGGTGATGTACCGTGCCATCATCCTGCAGAACAGCATCCAATCGGCTGGCTCAGCATCAGCATCCCTGATCATTTTTAAACTGGAAACCATTATTGTTCAAGAGGGTTACAATACATTATACAATAGAAGTACTCATTACTGACACTTACCAGCATCCCTGTAATCTTGTCTATGGCTTTCTTCACTTTGCCGTAGGTGCCTCTTCCCAAAGTCTCTAAAAGCTGATATCGGTGCTTGATGCTGTGCTTGTGGTGGTGTTTCTTCACCGGAACCGAACTGCTGACTGGCCCGGAATCTGGGCTTCTGCAAGGGTCAGTCCTGTCCCATGTCGGGGACCTCTCCTCCTCTCTTCTCTGACCCAAATGTCCCTTGGCCACCTTGCTGGACAACATGACCGTGTCACAGGAGCTGTCCTCCCTGATGCACGTTACACCTGTCATGGCGCCGGTCTATAGGATATTACAGCCTTGATCAAAATGATTGTCCAAGCTTTTCAAGACTGTTTTTTAAAAAAAAAGGCACATTAAGGAAATAAATAGTTCAATAACTTAAAATAATAACAATAAATATGCAAAAAATAGAATGCACTGCTTCCTGCAAACTTAAGTTGGCCGATACAAGGTTGTCCAAGAGTTGGTGAACTTCTGCCTCTTCTGGGTGATAGAAAAATTAATACTTTAAAACGTTCCAAAACTTCTCTTCCAAGTTTTGAAGTCTGAATGCTTTACGTCCTCTTTTTCAGTGACTTCAGATCTTCTCGCAGCTTAGCTGCTGCTCGGTGCTCTTTTTTTTAGGGATTGTAATGCATCTTTTTTCCTCTACAGCCTTGTTGGAGTTGGATGTTCTAGCAGCAGCAGCTGCGTGTCCACTGTGCGAAGTTGCTGTGTGTTCTGAGTTTGCAGACTGGCCTTGCATTCTTCTAGTTGGAGTAGGAGGAGACATAGGAAGTGGGCAAAGCTTTAGCTGCAGTCTGATGACTGCAAAGTGACTGACACATCCCATACCTGGGGGGGGGGGTTGTTATGCAGCCGGCGATGATACATGGTTAGTGATTGCTCACCATTGTTCAAAGCTGAACTCCAGGTATGATCTTTATTGCATAGTTATCTTGGCCCAGCTTGGACCAATGTAAGCATGCATATTTATTTCACGTACTTATATAGTGCCATCAATTTACGCAGCACTTTACATATACAGTGGGGATGGAAAGTTTGGGCACCCCAGCTAAAAATTTGTATTAATGTGCATAAAGAAGCCAAGGAAAGATGGAAAAATCTCCAAAAGGCATCAAATTACAGATTAGACATTCTTATAATATGTCAACAAAAGTTAGATTTTATTTCCATCATTTACACTTTCAAAATAACAGAAAACAATAAAATGGCGTCTGCAAAAGTTTGGGCCCCCTGCAGAGTTAATATCTTGTACTGTCCCCTTTGGCAAGTATCACAGCTTGTAAACGCTTTTTGTAGCCAGCCAAGAGTCTTTCAATTCTTGTTTGAGGTATCTTTGCCCATTCTTCCTTACAAAAGTCTTCCAGTTCTTTGAGATTTCTGGGCTGTCTGTCACGCACTGCTCTTTTAAGGTCTATCCATAGATTTTCAATGATGTTGAGGTCAGGAGATTGTGAAGGCCATGGCAAAACCTTCAGTTTACGCCTCTTGATGTAATCCCCCGTGGATTTCGAGGTGTGTTTAGGATCATTATCCATTTGTAGAAGCCATCCTCTCTTTAACTTCAGCTTTTTCACAGATGGCATCAAGTTACCATCCAAAATTTGCTGAAATTTTATTGAATCCATTTTTCCTTCTACTCGTGAGATGTTCCCTGTGCCACTGGCTGCAACACAACCCCAAAGCATGATTGATCCAACCCCATGCTTAACAGTTGGACAGAGGTTCTTTTCATTCAATTCTGTGCCCCTTCTTCTCCAAACGTACCTTTGTTCATTCCGGCCAAAAAGTTCAATTTTAACCTCATCGGTCCACAGAACTTGTTTCCAAAATGCATCAGGCTTGTCTATATGTTCATTTGCAAAGTTCAAACGATGATTTTTTGTGGTGAGGACGTAGAAGAGGTTTTCTTCTGATGACTCTTCCATGAAGACCATATTTGTACAAGTATCTCTTTATAGTGGAATAGTGTACCACAACTCCAGTGTCTGCCAGATCTTTCTGGAGGGATCGTGCAGTCAAACGTGGGTTTTGAATTGTTTTTCTCACAATCCTGCGAGCTGTTCTGTCTGATATTTTTCTTGGTCTTCCAGATCTTGCTTTAACTTCCACTGTTCCTGATGACTGCCATTTCTTAATTACATTCCGAACAGAGGATATTGACATCTGAAAACGCTTTGCTATCTTCTTATAGCCTTCTCCAGCTTTGTGAGCGTCAACTATTTTCAGTTTCAGTTTTCTAGACAACTGCTTAGAAGAACCCATGGTGCTGATTGTTGGGGCAAGGTCAGATGAGTCGGGGCATTTAAAACCTTTGAGATTGACATCACCTGGTCTTCCCAGACGATGATTGAGAACAATCCATGACACTGGCAGGTCTCAGCTTTGCAAAGGGGGCAGTGCATGCTATAAATACTGTAGGGTGCCCAAACTTTTGCAGACGCCATTTTTTTGTTTTCTGTATTTTGAAAGTGTAAATGATGGAAATAAAATCTAACTTTTGTTGACATATTATAAGAATGTCTAATCTGTAATTTGATGCCTTTTGGAGATCTTTCCATCTTTCCTTGGCTTCTTTATGCACATTAATACAAATTTTTAGCTGGGGTGCCCAAACTTTCGATCCCCACTGTATATTGTACATTCACATCAGTCCCTAACCCTCAAGGGGCGTACAATCTAAGGTCCCTAACTCACATTCATACATACACATACTAGGGACAATTTAGACAGGATCCAATTAACCTATCAGCATATCTTTGGAGTGTGGGAGGAAGCCGCGGTACCCGGAGGAAACCCACGCAGGCACAGGGAAAACATGCAAACTCCAGGCAGGAGGTGCCCTAGTCGGGATTCGAACCAATGACCCTAGTGCTGCCAGGCATATCTCATCGGTGGTGGTCATTGTAGTAATTAGGGCCACTATAGTGATCGCCACAATCTTCCAGGTCCTGTGCCGAGTGACTGCCCTGCTGCACACTAACAACAGGGGTCGTTCGCTCAACAACACAGAATGGCGATGTCATGATATCCACCTTGTCCATTCAGAGAATGCCTTGTATTTGCTAAGGATATACAAGACCGTTTGTGAATGGCTATGGTGCCAGGAAAGTGACCCTACTATACAGAAGGGAAATCGTTCTGAAAATGACCTGGACCTCAGACTCCCCTCCTAGCCCACCACCTCAGTACAGACCACCCTCCCAACCTAAAGCCTTGTACATATGATGAGAGTATCGCACGAAAAATCCCACTTTTGGAGTAATCATCCCATAATCTGTTCGTTAGTACGCAGCTTTAGAGAACCAATCATGACAGTTCTTGCAAAATTATCCAAGAGGACAAGCACAAAAAATGTTCTTAGAATGAACGATTTTTTCATTTAATCAGCACAGTGTTCATCCCAAGAAAATCAGGTGACCAAAACCATGCATGCTTAGGAAGGAAAGAATCCATTACAATGCAATACATGACATCACTTCCAAAGTTTCATTCTGTCGTACGAGAATTTTCATAACTTTAGTAACCTCTTCATTTTGTATATGAGACTAGCATGCCAAAAAAAAAAGGATGATCATTCTCATCATGTGTATGGGGCAAACCTCCTCAGTACCGACCCCCCTTACTTTCCCCAGTACAGATCCCCTGAGTACAGACCTTTCCCAGTACAGAGCCTTGGTCCCAACCTAACCACCCAGTTAAGACCACCCCAGTCTAAACCTGCACCACCCTCCCCTTCCAGCCTAAATCTTCAGTACAGACCCCATGCAGTAAAGACCTTCCCAGTACTGATCCCCCTACCAGCCTAACCCTTCGGTACAGACCCTACCCCTGTACAGATGCCCTCAGTGCAGACCTCCCCCCAGCCATACCCCCAAGTACAGACCCCTCTTCTCAGTACAAATCACCCTTCCAGCATAGTTCATCAGTACAGACCCTCCCAGTGCCCCCCCCCCCCCAAGTACAGATTCCTTATTATAGCCTAACCCTACAGTAGAGACTCCCCCCCAGCCTAATCCGTCAGTAGAGATGCCCCTAGTACACATTTCCCCCTCCCATCCTAACTTTTCAGTACAGACCTCTCCCCATCCTAAACCGCCAAGTACAGATGCCCCTAGTTCAGATTTCCCTCTCCCATCCTAACCTTTCAGTACAGACCTCTCCCCAGCCTAAACCCCCAAGTACAGATGTCCCTAGTACAGACCTCCCCAAGCTTAACCATTCAGTAAAAACCCCCACTGTCATCCTAAGCCCTCAGTAAAGACCCCCCAGTACAACAGCACCCCCCCTACCAAACTAACCCCTCTGTACATATCGCCATACCCATCCTAACCCCTTTAGTGCAGAACTTTCAAACCCCCAAACACAGTCTCAGTCCCTCTTCTCAGCCTAACCCTCAGTACAAACCCTCCCCCCAGTACAGAACATCCCACCTCCCAAATACAGTCCCCCTTCCCAGCCTAAACCCTCAGTACAGACCCCTTCCCTTTTATCCTTACCGCTTAGTACAGGCCCCCCTGATCCTCAGTACAGTCCCCCCTTACAGTCTAACCTCTCATTACAGACCTCCTCTGTACAGACAACCCTCAGGACAGACACCTCCAGCCCAGACACCCCATCGCTGCAGATGCATCAGCAGTCCACAGTAAAGGGAAGTCCTCCCCTCAGTTGTGTTATGTGACTGGATGCACAGAGGGACCTTTGCTTGACTCTCAACTGCCACTGTGAGACAGGCAGAAGCAGTACTGCAGTGCCCATGATACTAGAAATACAGTGGTGCTTCCTCAGCATGGTGCAGTGCAACTAAAAAAAAAAAATATCAGCCACCTTGCACCCCGAGAGTACCAGTACCTGTTTACGGACCACACCCCCATACCTCCTAAGTATGCCACCGGACATGTCCCATAATTTTTGCCACAATACACTGTGGTGCTTTTGCATGTGCTACAACACTTATGCTTTGCCCAGGGGCGGACTGACCATTCGGAAACTCGGGCACCATGAGATGCCCCTGGTACCTTTTATAGGCTTTTTGGGTGTGGTTTGCGTGTGGGCAAAGACATAGGGGCCCCATGATCCCCTATTGCCCGGGGGCCCCATGATCCCCTATTGTCCAGGGGCCTCATGAGTTGTCACTCCGCCCCTAGCTTTGCCTAAGCATATTTGGGTGCTATGAAAAATGAAAAACACTGCAACATGTCAATGCTTAGACATAAATCCAAAAGTGATTTGCGTGAAGGAATGAAAAAAACACGTTAAGTCGCCAC